AAAAGCCTCTTACGACTTCGCTACCAAAAGATAAGCGGCAAATCCAAAACATAAGTATTTTCATTCGTTGTTAGTTTTTTGGTTGTGAGCACTGTTGTTTAGTTTACGAGACCTTATATAATTTTTAACTAATGTTATTTCATTGTTTAATACGATATATTGCTAATCTTGAGTTTGAAAACACTTTTTTATATAACCTATTTAAAAGCTTTCATGTGGGTAGGGTAAAAAGGATCATTGTTTATTTATCATGGCAAAGGCATGAACAATAAAAAATAGTAAATACAAATGTAAATCAAATTATAAAAAAGCAATTTTACAAGAGATAAATTAAATAAATAGCTATTCCAAACTCTGCTGATAAATATTTATGACCAAATACCAGATCAAGGTTATTTACAATGTTAACTCTATAAAAAAGCATCAATGAATTTTATGTTTTGCGTTGGTTGAATAATGTAGCTATTTTTTCGTAATTCATTTCAAATTAAAAAATAAACTAGCTGTAAGTGGACTTCTGTCTTAAGGTAATTAGGGCATCGTGCCTTAAAGCAAATTGCTGGAACTTCCCGTACCGCAATTCAAAATTCGAGTAATTAAAAATAATCAATAATAATCAATAAAAGTTGATCAATGATTTGAAACTTTTATATCGTATCGGACGTATTAGTGTACAATGTACACTGTACACTGTACATAGTCAGATTTAATATGTACTATTTATGGTAATATAATGGGTTTGTTGTTCACAATATAATTGCCCAAAGTCAAATTGGACCTTTGTGCCCCGCCCTATATTTATAGGCCTAGAAACATTAAGTATATTTTATACCCGATTCCCATGTATTATTTGGTTGTGGCTGTCTCAATTACAGTTTCATTATAGCAAAAAGCAATATTCGTTGATTTTACGAAGCCGTTGCTACGTTTTTACGATCTCACGAATGAACCTACTCAATATAAACCTGTTTGAATGTGGACCCTAATGCATGGCTCAGCATACAAATCTTTTTTTATCTGACACCTATATTCATATTATTCAACAAATATTGGAAAGTTATTTCCACTGAGGTTTCGATGAATGTATGAGTTGAATGCATATATTCAGTTATCGATTGGTAATGTCCTCAACAGCATTTATAATACAGATATGAGATTTTTGAATTTAAACGCGATTTATTGGACGTGTGAGCAAATATGAAATAAAATTATATTATAGGTATTACAAACAATATAAATCTTTTAGACTTATATATTTTAGAATTAAATTTTTTGAGAAAACGTTAAACAAATTTATCATTCATTCTTTTAATACAATTCAATCCGTTAGAAAAAAATTTAGCTGATAATTCTCAAATTATAATAGAACAATCAAATTAGCACAGCATTTTGAATCACAAAAATCCAAAGCTTGTATATTTGTTTTAAGAATAAAGAAAATATTTAACACCCTCTTATAAAATAAAATAAGCATACTTAAGATAAATAAATATGATTTAAATGACAGTAAAAAATAAAGTCAAGTGATTGCATATATTGCCTTAAAATTATTACTAATTTTAAAAATGTATTTCAGGATACTTCAAGTTTTCAATTAACTCTATTTAATATTTTCAGATATCACTAACCGCTAGCCAATGTAAATTTTAGACGCTTCGAATAAATAGATAAAATTTTTGCAAATTAACAAACTTAATCCATGTAAAATATATCATCTTAATTTTTAAAATTTCTCGTATATATACAAATAATTAATTTCCAGCAGTTTAGTAAGTTATAGTAATCTAAAAAAAATCAAAAATAAACATTTTTGCATATCTTAGCAATAAAATTTGCATAAAAATTATTTATGGGTTTGTATGTATGCAGTACATATGTTCGGATACAAATTTTCGTCCACGATTTCAAAAGCACGGGTGAACCGATTTGAATGATTTAATAAGCATGCGTGTTGATTAGTTTTTAACAAAAGCAGGTCCAAAAATTGCAATTGAGTTTATGAGAGAGCGGAGCGTCCGATTTGAACAATTTAGAAAATTTTTCACTTGTATTGACAAAATTGACGCAGAATTAGTTCAATTTTTGGGAAGGCAGGTCCAGCGGTTCCGGAAATCCAACAAAACGAGTTTAAAAATGCGATTTGGCGGCCAAAAATAATCATTAGGCATAAGCATATTAAAATTTCCAAAATTTAATTATAAGTACAAATTTTGTAGACTGAAATAATTAAAACAGCTACGAAAGCTTTTAAAATAATTAAAAACTTCAAAAAAAAGTTTTTAAAAATTTTAAATTACGCCAAAGCTATGAACCTCTAGTTTAAATATAAATTTGTCAAAATTGGGTTATTACATCTTCAACTATATTATCGTCTCTGAAATAACTTCTACATATAAATATATATTTCTCATATTTTTCCGTATAATTTTGCTCTTGCCGATGTCAGTTTTTGACACAGCCCTCATTTATATTTATGAAATATGATAAACGTTACGAGTTGCTTTTTGAAGTGTTGATATAAGAGTAGAAAAGGCATTAACGTCTAAAATGATATAGTTCACAATACCTGATATTCAGAGTTGTATTTCTCTGTTTATATAGTTCAACGGAATAGCTCTCTATGTTTTGATACTCTCTTATGGAGAAAGCTGTAACATGTGTATTTTATACGAATATTCACATTTCACAAAAATGATGGCATACAGTTCATGATTTATTATTCATATAATTCACTAGTAAGAAGCAGTATATTAAAAAAATTCAATTGTCAATTAAATATGTTTTAATTGATGAATGATTGACTTTCAAAAGCAGTATATTCAGACTCATGGTACCACTATTTCCACGTGTTATTCTCATTCCTCAAAAATAATCTTAATCTTATACTAAAATAATTTAAAACGAAAATTGAGTGACGCGCTAAAGGCTTCTTACAATCATCAAACTAATAATGTAAAAATATAGCATTCCATTCAAAATAAAATAGAACAGCTCTGCTTAATTTAGATTCCTCATTATAAAATGTAAATGTTTGTTATTTTAAAATTTTGTATTACTTTAAACATATTCAATTAAAAATGTACTATTATTTCCATACAGCAACACTTGCTGAGAAAGTTGCTCAGAAAATATCTCACATCTTGTTGATTCCATCAACCCAAAATCTTTAATCAATTAATATCCATTTTATGTTTTATGAATTGAAAGAAAAAATGTTTGCAAATCTCATATTATGGCAATTATGAGATATATAATATTACCTTTCCAAACGAATAAATTTGTAATAAATGGTAAATCCATATCGAAAATTCAATAAATATTTTATATTTTCAGTATAAATCGTTTCCATAATGGATATCAATATGCCATATTAATGCCATATTATAACTTCAGTCGTTTTAACTAGTAATATTTTAAAATAATGGACTGTCCATGTGTTCAGCATTATTTTGCTTCACATATTTATTAGAGATATAAAGGGTTATGATACATGAAGTAAAAACCTTCTTAACTCATACTATTAATTTTAAAAAACTCTATATTCAATTCAATGTGCTTTGTTTGTTTAGTAATTTGCGTCAACAAGCCTTTATACTTTTATAGTATTTCTGATGAATTGTCTATTACAAAGAATATTTACAGTGGCCCATTTTAAATTCCAGCGCAATATATTTTGAATTTAAGATATTAAAAACAGCTTTATTACCAACTTTCTGTCATTTTCACTGCAATGAGTAGGGGAGACTGGGTATGGTTGTGCCAGGTTACAATAGTGATAGTTGCCATAAGAGCTAAACTATACTGATTTTGAGATAGGGTCCAAAGGGAAAAAGAGAAAGTATGATTGTTCCGTTATTGCTTTCAGTCAGAGCCTTATATTAACATGACCTGTAGACCGTATTGCTATTAAAGAGTCAAAAAAGTTTCTTTGTTCGACTATTTTTAATAATAACACTCTTACTTGTATGCACATAGATCACTTTGCTTGTTATTTTTCTGTAACTTGAACATTAGTAGTAAATTGTCAGTAATTAGTTTTTGCGTAGATAATTTAGTCCAGTCATAATGATGATTTGTTTTCAAAGGTGTGCGTTGGGTACGGTTGTGACATGTGGTTGTGGGTCTTGTCTTTTTCTTATTAAAAGTAAACAAACACAAAAAACTAACTTAACTAAGACAAAATACGAAAGAAAAATGGAAATGAAAAAATTCAATACAAGAAAAAAAGATTTCTTGTTAACTTTGTTTAAAAAAATATGTTTCATTATATGTTGTTATATATTATTCTGCTATGTTGTGTTATTATTTCTGACAATAAAATTTCTGAGAATAAACCATTTTGCTGTTTATACCTATTGCTTTTTAACCTATATTTATTAGGGTAGTCCTTAATATGAACATTTTCGAATTTCCTTGCTTGCAATGGCTCAAATGGTTCCAAATTGATAAAAAACAATTCTCTCAAAGTTTTAGCTCTTAATATTGTCTTTTAGATTATGCGCAATTCAATCAAAGTTTTGTATGGAAATAGCATGAAAAAAATTCCAAAAATTTTAAAAATGTTTTTACATATAATTTAGCGAACAAATGAATAAGTTTTATTCAAAATTTGTCGCAAAGTTACATAAAAAAAATTTTTTTTAAATTTTCAAGATGTGTTTCGTGCTATTTCCATACGAAGTTTGATTGAATTGCGCACTATCTAAAAGTTAATATTAGGAGCTAAAACTTTCAGAGAATTGTTTTTTATTAATTTGGAACCATTTGAGCCCTTGGAAGCAAGAAAATTCGAAAATGTCTATATTAAGAACCGCCCTAATATCTATGCCTGTCATAACCAACCTAGTGATGTGGGGATGCTCACCGTTTAGTTTACTGCCCTCTGGTAAATTAACAAAATTATGCTTGATTTTTAAAAAAAAGTGGCACAACAGTTTCAAACGCTGAAGTTCTGTTCGAAAGTTCTTATATTCTAGTTGAACAAAGGTGTGTTTACTCACATCGATTTCTGCCCCGGGCACCGTGGTGTTGCGGTAAGGAGGTTGCCTTCCCTTGATGTACTGGTAGAACTTAGTGGCTGGAGTCGATGCCGAGTCGGACCGCAACCAGTCGACTTTGTACAGGTCTCGCGCCTTCACGCTGTGGTGACATCGCAGTATCGCGGAGGAGCCGCGAGACGCGAACCTTGGCACCTCCAGCTCAACACGGACATCCTCGCAGTTCCCAACTGAAAAATTAAATAACACATATTATTTATTCACATGTCTTGCATATATTTTCAATATAATACACGTAAAATTTCCTTCAAACAATACAATAGTTCAAATATCCAAATATTTTTTTTTGCATAGTTTTATTGTCAATCAAAATAATATACAAAATATCCAAATATAACGCACAGTTTTAAAGAAATGTTGATATACATAGTAATTCAATGTATTTCTACATTTTTTTTATAAAATGTTAAGTGATAGTTAGGATTATATATATATATATATATATATATATATATATATAACGTAGAGCATGGCTTAAAAGTCCGCTGGTTTGCTTAAAGATCCACCACCGATATCTCATAAACAAGTAAAGTTACTAGTAAAATACTTGAAACTAGAGGAAAAAAATGGTAACCAGACATCACCTCGATACCTATAATGTTACTATTGAAAGAAAAATGGCAATGTTTGAAAATCCATAACAAAAGAATTTTTGTTTGTTGTTGTTTTTTTTTCAAAGTGAGCACTGTTGTTAAATTTACAAAACCTTAATTTAATTTTTAAGTATACGTTATTCACATATATTATAAAATGTATTGTTATTTTTGAGTTCAATTCAGTTTTTTTATTTAGCCTCTATAAAAGCTTACACGTAGATGGGGTAAAAAGGACCAACTCAACATATACCCTGGCAAAGATGCAAACAATAACAAATAGTAAATAAAAAAGTAAATCAAATTAAAAAAGTAATTTCACAAGAGATTTTTTTTTTAATTATTTTTGAACAGCAATCAGAACCTTACGTCCTATGAGCTGTTGGGCTGAAACTTCTCCTTCCTTCGTATTTTTTTAGATGGTAAACCAATGGCTAATCCATCCATATTTGATGATTTTTATTATTAGAATTAATCTAATAGGGCTGACATTTTATTGGTGCAGCAATGCCGGGCAAGGGCTATTTTCACTTGGAAACATATTGCTATCTATATTTCCAAGTGAAAATCGTTGTCACTGCTGCCTGACAACAGGCTGCTCGAAGTGGTTATCGAACCCGGGACCTCTGAAACAAGTCCCGTCGCTCTTAACCGCTTACCTACGGGCAAGCCCACAAGAGATAAATTGAATTATTTCATTTCTGCTGATTAATATTTCTGACGATATACCAAACCAAGGTTGTATACAATGTAATCTCTTCAGTATACCCATGAAATTTATATTTTTCATTTCGTAAAATTCCTATAAAATTGAATATAGGACAATGAATCTGTTTGCCCCCTGGCCGTCTCATTTTACTCCGCCTATGGACTAAAAATATTAAGGTGACAAGTTTTTCGAAGACAGTAAAAAATACATTTCTACAAATGATGAATTAGCTGAGAGTTCTACTGAATATAGTAGAATAGATAGTTTTTTATTTGATATGTGTTATGTGATATAATTGATTTGGTTTCCACAAAATAATTGTTCGAAATCAAATTGGACTTTTGTGCCCGCCCTACCCTATATAGAAACCTCGAAAATTTAGTTATAATTTGCATTAAATAATATTTTTTTCTAGTCTAATTACCTAAGTTATAATTTAGTTTGAAAATTTAAAAAGTTTTCATCTGTGTTACACATAATTTTAACTTGTATAAATAGGTATATGTATAACAACATCAAAACTGACGAAGTGACAGAATAAGTGCATGTTTAGATTATATAAAAGCTACAGCATATATTAAAATGTTTACGGAAATTTGCTAAATGAGTTTCAAAATTAGTTTCATAAAGCAAAAAACTTTGTTTGCAGGTTGGTTTATTCGATGTAGAATAAAATTATACTTTATTCGAAGTATTTTTAATTATTCATTGTGACCTCAAAATTTTACTGAACGTTTTAGATGTTCCAGTTTTAGTTTCAAAATTTATTTTGCTACTTTCCTATTGGTACAAATGTTTCAAATTCAATAACCAAGCGTTAATTATATATATACATATATATATATATATATATATATACGAGTATATATATATATATATATATATATATATGTATATATTATATATATATATAATATACAAAATATAATAGAATAAATTAGAATACAAAATATTGCCAAATTCTACAGCATCAGACCAATATGAAAAATAAATACCGGATCGATATCGTAGTAAACAATAGTTATTAGATTAAACTAATATTTCAATATTCTGACAACTTGATCAATTTAATTTAGTTTCCAATAAAACTAATAAATCTATTATCTCTAACAAATATCAGTCAAAACCAAAATTCAACAATGCCATGATTGATGTATAGTCAAAGTTGCATAATAATTAGCCAGTATCTCTATTTTTTACAGAAATACATCATATGCGCAGTTGTTATCCAATATCTACATTGTAATCGCAGCTCATAACCATTTCACCTGATGAATAGCTGTTTGTGCTATATCAGTAATCTTAAATTGAATTAATTAATTATTCAGTATAGAAATGACAAACACAGAACCTAATTCCGACAATATATTAGCGAATCTGTCGTATGGTGATTAATTGGAGTTTAAACTTTGCGGTTCTAGATATTAAGCGACTGTCTGATTAAGTGCTCACTCTTGTGAAAAATTATTATCGATGGTTACTGTGAAGTTTTTATTAATTAAAAGAACACGCACAACGGCCAAATATTCAAAATAAATATATTTTCTATTCTTATTTGTCTGATTTCATAAATTATATAAATTTCCTATACTTTTTTTAGGTTAAAAAGTATAATTGTTACTTAAAGGTATTTGACGCTGTATTAGATCAACAAAAATATAAATTTCGATACTATCACTATCAGAGGTAGATAATAGTCTTGAAAAACCAATTCTATTAGCAAAACTCAATCTAATAGCAACATATAAGTTCTGACCAATCACCATGATATAATTTAGTATAACAATAATTGATCTTAAACTGAATCTTCAATAATATGATATATATATATATATATATATATATATATATATATATATTATTTTTAAACATATGATCTTAGAATATCAACAATTAAAAATAAGATGAATATTAAAATAACTTTCATATATGTGCTTTTATTATTGTATCTATTAGCGTTACCTTATAAAACACGTCAGCTATAACCATGTACGAAACTGTTCAGAACAATACGACATCTTTTCAACATTCCAATGCAACCAGCATAAAATCGCCAAATGCTCTAGAATATCCAAACTTAGCGCCGACATGCAGCGAAACATCGAAGAAGACTTCGCCAAGAACGAGTTTTCCTGCAAGCACCGCCAGAAGCCGATGTCGCCTAAACGAGTATCTTGCAAGAATCCACTTGGCACATGCATACGCGATGTCAATTTTGTTGGCACGCCTTCTCGTAATAATGGACATTTTATTGATTCAAACTTGGATGTGTTCCGACGTGATCAAGGTGGTCCTGGCAGTTGTGGTCGATTATGTGTAATTAGGAAGGAATACCTGGAGTATTGTCCTCATAGTCAATCGATGTAAGATGGCATTTATTGAAAAATGGTGCACTGCATTCAGAATGATTTCGACATATAAACTGCAGGCTGTGATAAGTGTGTGAATTTTGCATCGCGTAATTTAGTTTTTTTGTCAATTTTAATGGTTCACAAAATTTATTTTATGAGAAAAATTTTATGAGATCTTTTGTTTGACTTTGATCATGGCATACTATATAAAAACAATTTATAAATGTCACTTTTACATAGTGAATCTAGACGCCGCGGATGAACTGTCAATAAATAGTATAGGAAATGTCATATCACATTAATTATTTAGCTTCACAAAATCATTAAATCAAAATCTAACATACATGATTAATAAATTGTATTCTTCCCGAAAGCAGGTCCATGGTGTGAGAGTACCACAAAATCAATTTTTGTCATTCCTCCCTTGTTTGTGTCATCATTAATCTGCATTTTTCTTTTTTGCAACCCCTTTAGTCCTTGTATTTTTGCTTTGGCGACATCATGTAGAAGGCACTCTTTTTGCCTGAATGGATTCGATCCAATTTCCTTTCCTTTTAAAAATCGTTCTCTGTAGATTTATTTCTTCGTCCACTTTTCTCAGATCTTCTTCATTTGTTACCTTATCTGTCCACTTTGTCTACTCCATTTGTCTCCAGCACCACATTTCAAAACTTCTAGATAGTTTGTGTCGGCCTTTCTCAGCTTCCATGCCTTTCCATACAGAGCTATGATTCAGACATAATTTATTAGTCTCTTTCGCAACCCGAGATGCTGCTGCTCATCAGTAGCTTTCTCTTCTTAATGAATGCTCTTCATGAATTGGCTTGCTATCCTTGCCATGATCTCTCTCGAGCAGTATGCGTCTGGTGCAGTATCCGACAACCCAAGTACTTGAAGTAATCTACGTCTTCTACTTGTCAATTTCTTACCGTTATCCTCAAGAGCTCATCTCGTTTCAATATTCTCATATCTTACGATTTGTCGATGTTGATTTCCATTCCGCATCTTTTAACCACTTCGAAGGTTCTGCTCATCACGTTTAACATATGCAAGGACGGATTCATTGATCTTCGTCAATGGTTAGAGAAAATAGATCTGTGGGTTAGTTAACAAAGTCCAAAGTGGTGAAACAACTGCTGTAGAAGAAAGTAAATGGCGGAACACAAGCGAGTAAGCAAGAAATCAAAATTCTCCAAATATAAGAAAAGGGCGAGAAAAAAGTTTACTGTGATAAAAGTTAAATATAAACCCAAGACAATTTTTTCCATGGAAATACAAAATGAAGTTCAGCCGATGAAACAGTAAAAAGTAAACCACAGTGCATCTGTCGGAGGATTCAGATCATAAAATAATAAAAAATCAACAAATATTTCTGAAGCCGAATGCTCTGTTAATTCGTGATGTCCCTAATGATCAAGTCAACATAAGAGTAGACAAAATAAATTTGACCATAGGGGATCTGTTGATAACTATTTTTAAAAGAAGCACGGACAAGGTTCTTAAAAAATTATTGCAGG